ACATTACAACCTAATTGACTTATTAATATAAAAAGCATATGCACAGTTATTTTATAGTTTGTTATATATAAAAAAAATTTTTTTTATTATGTTTGATATTTTGTCTTATTCTAAACAAAGCAAGTTCTCTAACCAAAACACAAAAAAATATCTTGGATAAAGCAGGTTTTTCAACAAATATATAAAAGTAAGAACTAATTTATTTTAAATTAGTAAAAATTAAAATATTATAAATTATTAATATATGCTATATATTTAAGTAAGATAGAGCATTATAGAAAAAATTTGAAACAAGCAAAGGTTACTAAAAAAAGAAAAAGAAACTAGAACATGTAAGAGAAGTTGGCAGTTGTTACATATTTTAAAAAAAATTCTATGCCTAGCAAGTGAAATACTGCTTAACAATTTAATATAACACCAAAGCAGTTGCATAAATAGATCAAAAAATGAAAAGAATTAAAAAATGTTCCACCTTATACAAGATGGTTAAATATTGGTGCTTGTCCTAAATATCTATTTTTAAAAGTTGATCTTTTAGATTGAGTTAAATCTTTATATTTAAAGCAAAAGATTGTATTCCAAAATATGGTTAAAACTAAAGCACAATAACTTGCAAAGCTAATCTGTTTTACTTTACTTTACTCTATGATCAATAAATGCAAATAAAGTGATAGATAGATCAAAAGTTTTATGCATTATAATAATTTAAGCAATCAATGCCATACTACAGTACCACAAAGACTACCAAAGAACTTAGAATCTAAAAGAAATGAATTTTTGAGTTATGTATTATATCATAGAATGTGTTATAATTATCTTCTTTTTCTTATTGAAAATATAGATGAGACACTACTAGTATTTGATATGTCTAGTAACTATACAATAGAAGAAGCTGATGCTTATACAGTTGAAATTCATACAACTAGATATAAGAAATCTAATTTTACAATTGTATTAAGTTGTTTAGCTGATGGTACTAAATTGCCTTCAATGATAATTTTTAAATTAGTCAAAGTACCATGGCAAATATTTTCATCAGGTATCATTGTATGAGCTAATCCTGAGGGATATATGAATTCTGAGAAAATGATTTTTTGGATTGAAAAGATCTGGAAACATTGAGCTCTTTTATCTGTTGATTTTTACTTATTACTTGTTTTGGATTCATTTCATAGTCACCTTACAGATATGGTTAAAAATAGATTTAAGAAAAAAATACCAATATTGTAATAATTCTAGATGGACTTACCAAAAAATTACAACCCTTAAATGTATATATTAATAAATCTTTTAAGAATGAGTTAAACTAATATTTTAAAATTATTGGTGTATTTATTTAAGTATATAAGTAAAAATAGCATTATTTATTAATTATATAATTGTTACAGCTAATATTAAAGTTTAGTTAAAGTTAAAATTAATAAATTTGATTAGTTAATAATTTTGATCAATTAGTAGTTTATTTGTTTTAATTTGAGCTAAATTTTAATATTAGCCAGAAAATACTTTTTTTTTAAATTTTAAATATCGTAAGTGCTATCTTAGTTGAATAGATGAAGAAATTAAAAAATTAACACCCACAGGTCATATTCAAAGACCTATTTATAATTTGGTAACAAGATGTATTAAAGCAGCATAAAACCTTGTTGACTCTGATCTTATAAAACAGTCATTCAAATGTTGTAGTATATTTATAGCTTAGAATAAGTCTAAGGAGAATATAATGTTTGATTATGATAAGGTCACTAATTCAGAATGTTAAAATAATAATTATATATATATCAATGTGGATAGTGCAAACAAAAATGAAGATGTTGTCAATTTGACTTAAGACAATAATAATAATAATGATAGTAGTTTGGATAAAAGTAAAGAAATGAGAAGCAAATATAATAGCAAAGATAGGAATAACAATAGTAAAAATGAGAATAATAATGAAGATTATAATAGTTTAGAGATAGATGAAAATAATGATAGCTTAAATAAAAGTAGAGTATAATCTTTTTTTTAATGTTGAAAGATATAAATTTTTTTAAAAAAATTTCTGTTAATTAAAAAAAGTCATAAGGAAGATTTATATTATAATGATCAAATAACTGAATATGTTTATATGTAGGATTGAAAAAATATCATCTTGTCTATCCAAATCATAAAAAACATAATAAGTGTAGTAATGAAAAATAGAATATTGATAAGTAGTGCCAATGCAATCAAAAAATAATAATATATTTAATTTATCACATGATGAACAAATTTAAAAAATAACTTGTAGCTTTCATTAATATTAAATAATCATAGAACAATTGTAATAAAAAAAAAAACTACAAATAAAAATAAATAATATCTGCTATTATAGCTACAAAACAGTTTATAAAATTTGTATTTACAAACAATCTTGCAAGAAAATATATGTTATAATCTGGCTATGTGCAATTTGTTCATAGCACCTTATGTTTTATCACTGAATTTAATTATGAAGTAACCTATCACTTAATAAAATTGTACTGTATAATTTACTTGTAAGTTTAAATAGATTATTAGAAATCAAACCAGATTATTTAGAGCTATTAGGAAATAATAAAGAAATGTATTAATAAACCATAAAGCAACACAATATAACACATATAACAATAAGTTGACATATCAATATTAATATATTAAGAATTGTTTAAATGCTATGCAAATAGCATGTAAGATATTGTTAAATATTTGTTAGATAGAACTATACTTCAAATACTATATATTATACTAAACCTTTTTAATATTTATTCCTATTTACATATTCAGGTCTTTTAATATTTATTTCTATTTATATATCTGGTTTTTTTAATATTTTATTTTTGTTTATATACCTAAGTATTTTACAATTTACTAAAATCTTAATCTATATTATAAATCTGTGTATAGTACATAGTGGGTCTGATATCTGAAAGGATCTTATATATAGCAGTTTACAGTACCAACTAGACTATCAGAATAAACTGAAAGAAAAAGATATCAGACTGATCTGATATACTAATAAACTAATTATAGTTCTATATAGGCTATTTGGATTAGAAATCTAATAAAAAGACAGATAAAAAAGCAGAAGTATACTAAAGTACTAGGGTTATGATATGAAGTAGATGCTGAAGTTTGTATAAACTTTACAAGAGTATAGTAGTTAAATAATATAACTTTGATTGCAAGTATTAGTTCTATTATAGCAATATCTAGATCAATTGTAAAAATGAGTACAGAAGGCTTTGAAGAGTTTATCTTAAGAATAAAATAGTTTTAAGGTTAAGATAAAAATTTGGATATCTGAATATAACCTAGTAATATTAATACAGATTGCAGATTTAGAAAGTTTAAAGTAGAACATTTAAGCAAGAATGTTAAATATAACAATTAGTAAAGAATCTTTAAGCAGACTCCTTAAATAGGTAATATAGAAAGTTATACATATAGCTAATTGTATACTCTTCTGTAATAGTTCATAGAATTACATTATCAAAAAAGTTATTAATAAAAGTTAAAAGACCAAAAAAGTCACTTTAATACTAAAAAAAATAAATAAATAAACTATATATATATTTAAAATATAGAGAATAGTGATTCTAGTATAGTAGTTGAGTTGTCATCCTTCAAATGGCAAGTTTAAGATTCAAATCTCACCTACGATAAAATTTGAAAATTATATCTGCATTATGGTAATTGTCTCTTGTCAATCAGTTGGCCTTATGTGGTTGTTACTCAGATACACCAAGTTGGGTCCTACTGACATTGGGAGCTTGGGCATCTATATGAAGTATAACTTTACATATACATAAAGGAATGTATAACTGGTATTGCATAAGACTTCGATGCAAACTCACAATAAGACCATCAGGTGTAGAAAACTAAGAAACTGAGATGACAGAAACCCACTTAAAAATTCCTAAATAAAGAGGTAGCATGAACTTTTAATGATACTATTAGATCAGTTTAAGTTCACAAAACACCTTTATAGAAACCAAAGGTTAAAACTGAACATCAAATATGTGTAGAAGAACACATAACCAACCAGGCTACCAGATTTGCCAAAAGAAAAGGATACAGAGCATACCATACTGGGCTATCTGAATTGGTAGTTTGGAATGAAATTGATAGTTCTGAGTTGCGACTAGTAGAAAATAATAGAAAAGATGCCAGGAAAATAGGTACTGGAATTCTAGTAAACTTTATAAGAGTAAAAATAGTATAATGTAGCAGTTAAACAAATATCACCTGTAACTGCAAGTGTTAAGTAACTTTAGTGTGTTACATAAAACTAGGTTTATATGTGTAGGACATAAAAGGCTCTAGTAAGTTTTTTGCCAAGGATAAACTAGTCCTAAAGGTAACAACAAGAATTAGGAACTTGGATGGATATAGTCTTGAAATGTTCTTGTAATACAAGAAGGACTGCATATGCAAAGGCTTTAAATAGGCAAGACCCCTAGTCAGCTTGCAGGTATGGCAACTAGTGTAGAACTTATATAACAATATATAAGCAGACTATTTAAATTAGGCACCAAAAGTGCACATGTGACTAGTTGTAACTTCCAATGTAAGGTAAGCTTCTGGTGGCATGCCATGTCCTAATATACTTGAATAAAAACAGTGCATCTCCAAGATAGGAACTTTAACTATAAAAACAAATACATATATATATTCAAGATATTACTAACTAATAAAAAATTACCAGTTTGATTAAGTAATTAATTACTTATTTAAAATAATAATAATAATAGAAGTTTTATTAATATTATTAATACAGTTGGGGATTATTGAAAATTTGTAGATCATTTCTAGAATAGTCTACAATCATCTCCTGAAATATAATTGGCCTTCTTATAAAAAAAGTCATGATATTTCATCGATCTAATATGTAACCAATATATAACAAAAGTCAAAACTAGTTATTGATATATATATTTTCAAGCATATACTTTAAGAATCCCTGGAGATTTCTGAAACTTAACAAATTAGTTTTTTCACAAATTTAAAGTTTAAATTTTATAGTTCGTAGATTGATTAACCATGAATTAGAACTCTGAAGCCAAAGATCTGCTTTGCTTCTTCACTTTTTTTGCTAAAGAACACAAAGATAGTAACTTGCTAAAATATATAAAAATATGTAGAATTAGAAAGTAGCGAAATGTGTTTGCTGCTGCAGCAACAAAAAGAATAACAGAAATAGCTAAGTATTTTTCTGAATTAACTCAATATCTTGCCTTTATAGAGAGTTATTCTTTATGTAAAGAGCATTATAACTAGATCATTGCTAAAAAATCTTTTATTAATCAATTAAAGAAAAAAACTGATACAATTTTTTTATTATTAGAAGAACTAGAGAAAAAAAATTAAAGTTTTCTATTGACAACATTGAGCCGCAAGTTCCTAAAAAGACTTTCACTGATTTTGGCATTCAAGTAGATTTGTTTGAAAAAGCTTGTATTGATTTTGAATCCCAAGTATCCTTTTCAAATCCAATGTGTAAAATTCTTCAAAGAAGAATTAATGAGTTAGAAAAAAATAATAAGCAATTATTAAGTGAAAATAAAACATTAAAAAAAAGCTAAGTGAAAGATTTACTAACCAAGAAGATCACATTCATTCTATAATAGGGATTGCCAAAAAAGAATGAAGTAATTTGTGTGAAGATGTAATGAATTTAATAAAGAATCATGAACAGTTTTCTTTAGGTAGTCTTTTGGAATATTCTCCTTCCAAGTGGCTTGCTGAGTGGAATCTGGTTATTATTAAGTTTATAGAAACTCTTACGCATAATAAGAATGAACATTAGCATGAAGAAGAAAAGCTTTTCAAATATACAGTGACAGTTGATGCTATATATGGACCAAGGCATTTAAGATATGTATCAGCTATTAATTTGGCAATTTCAGCAGTTAAGTATTCATTAGCAAGATCAAAAATGATCATTAATATTAATAACCATATTATTAGCTCTGATAGTTATATGAAGTTCAATAATTGGTTAGAAAGTTTAGCTAGAGAACAACTACAGCTTTCTGAGGGTTTTTTGTTTTTGGCCTTTGACAACGAACAGAAAGGTCAAAAAAACTATTTGGATTATGGGAATAATACAGTTATATTCTATATGATTATGAGTTTTGTTGCATTTAACTATAGCCAGAGTAATAATATTCAAAGTGAAAATCCTTGGCTATATATGGAACTTGACCCAAAACAATATAAAAAGTTATTTTATTTATTATCAGATATGAGTAATAAAATTAATAAGAAACTTACTAATTATCTTTCAACTATTTTAGATAAGCTTTGCATTGAGAAAAATCAAGAAACAAATATAATTGATAAATTGGTTCATCAGCAAAGTCAAATAAGACATATGAAAAAATGTCTAGTTTGCCAGATCTCTAATATTGATAATAAGAAACAAGTTTGTCCTAAATGCAAAAATAAATTACCAATGCTTGCTAAGATAGTCAACAAACAATCTAAGATTGTAAATACTACTGAAAAATCACCTATTTCTCCTTACATATTTAAACAATGATCAATTCTGAAAAGTAAAATTTATAAGCCACAAATATTCATTCCTGATTCAATAGGAATTAATCCAAACTCAGTTACTAATGTTAGAAAAGTTCTTGAGCATATTGAAGAAATATCTGAAGTTAAAAATGATAGCCATAAATGGGTTGTAGTTACCTGTAATAAAATACCATATCATCACATACAAAAAATGAAAAAAGATTTTCCTTGGCTCATATTAATTCTGAGTGCCCTTTATAAAAAAATGAATATATTAAAGGCACTCATTGAATTAAATTGGAATATTGATCTAAAAGATTTTGCTAAGTGCCAAGGATATCGAACTAACAACCAACTTCAGTTTTTCAAAAATGCTTTGATCATCATAAGTCATAGGATTCTATATGTACTATATATAGACATGCAATGATACCCAAGTTAATATAGCCATATGTTATTTCTGAAAAAAATCCTTTTGTTGAATGATTTTTTTTTTTTTTAAATATTAAGGTAAGTACTTGCGACCTAGGATTTTATTAATAGTATATTTGGCTAATGATTATTTTACAACCACAAGGGGCAACTATGGAGAAAGTATACAACTAGCCACTTGTACAACTTTAGTCATTGTCTAATTTAAATAGTCCACCTAAAGGTTCTACACTAGCTGCCATATCTGGAACCCACTTGTAGATTTTCTATTTAACTACTCTGTTTTCGTATCTACCCACCTACCATCAGCAAAAAAAATAGGCCGATATATATCGATTATTAACCATAATGGATATATATCGATAGTAATCCCCTCTGTTGGGTTATATCGATTAAGATATATATCAATATATATCTATTACAATAGAAAATCGATAAAAAACGATTTAGTATAATATCAATATATATCAAATATATTCAGTACTATTAACTTCATACCAATAACCATAGTAATACTTTTAACAAATTTTAAAATAATTATCAATTTATGTATATAAATTTATTTATTGAATATTATAGCAATAAGCAATACATAATATACAAAATATAAAAAAAAAAACAATACATAAAAAAAAAATACATAAAAAAAATACATAAAAAAAATACATAAAAAAAAACATTGAATTATAAATCGCAATTAAGCAACGCCATACAATTTATTCAACTCATCTTTGGGAAGACTTATTGAAGAAATATTCTGGGAAAGAGATTCAGGATCGGAATTATATTAAGGAGAACCCTCATCGTATCATTCATCGTCATAAGCTTCACCTTCACCTTTACTTTGAAGGGCTTCAGCATTTTCGTGCGATAACTTACCACTTTCGATATCAATCTAATATGATATGTTAGTATTAATATTATATGATGTTAAAACTAAAATAAATTCCAATAACTTACCAAAAATTGTTCAATTCGACGTTTCATATGCTTCTTCGTGCATAAAATGTTTCATGACTAGGGGTTTAATAGGATGTCACATACCCAAAGGGCGAATGCGCTATGCTTATTTGTCAAAACAAGAACTGCCGCAGTAGAAAATGCAGTTCGTGCAATTACTGATACCCAATAAATGCCTTCGTTGTTTTGTTTGAAAAGCGTGCGATAACAATCACTTACTTGTGGGCTTTCTTTCCACAGAACAATATCAGCTGCAGCCGCATTACTCTTCAAGGGAGGCAATCTTTCATGCCCAAATACGTGCCAAACTGCAGACCTAACGCTTTGAAGGGCTGCACCACGATTATTCTTGATTTTTTGAAGGAGCTATAAAATAATAGTAACCAATTATTCAATATCACAAATATTATATGCTCTAATTAAAAGATACGTTACCTAATAATTTAGATTATAGTTAATAAATGTATTAAAAAAATATAAATGATTACTAACAGCTATAAGCAATGCATAATTAAAAAAAAAAAAATTACCTGAGTCAACCATTTACCATGAAAATGGTTAGTAAATTTGTTTGGGCTTATGTTAGACATGAAATCAAGAAACATTTCATCTATATAAGACTTAAAAGTCTCCTTGATTACAGCCTGGATAGGGTAAACATAACTTGGGAAGAGGCGTTTTGCAACACCAGTATATGCGTCCTATAAAAAATAAAAATTTAGAAAGTTTTCATTATAATCTTTATAAGTATCGAGTACTCACATCCAGGACCTTCTGTGAGAGCTCATTTTCTGTGTCAACTCATGCTTTTTTAATTCGCTTTTAATTTCCTGTATGTCCTCACTCAACCTTTTCATTAAAAGGTACAGCTGCTAATTTTGAGTGAAGAGTCTCTCATAAACTTGCTGGCAGTAACTGCTCACATGTTCTTCGAATCCAGTGTATTAAAAAAAAAAAAATTTAAAAAAAAAAAAAAAAAGGGTAAGATCATAAGATCGTTATCTAAAGAGATCAAAAAAAAAA